TTAAATCAGCAGGAGAAACTAGCTGATGTTCAACATTCAGTCTGACTATTGTTCTCTTCACAGCAACACTTATTATTGACACAATGCTGGAACACAGAGCACAAGGAGAGCTCCGCCTACTGGATGACGGCGCCCTCTGTTGGAGCTAGAAGGTGTCAATGAATGAGTAATGTTTTTCTCTTTATGTGAGCATAAATGAGACAACTCCTTCAAGCTATTTAAATTTTCACATACCCAGAAGTTCTGGGCGAGGAGGAGGAGTAGCAACAATCTTCCAGTCTCACTTACTGATTACTCCAAACACAGTTATTACATACAACTCTTTTAAACATGTAACATTCAATTTCTCTGATCCACATTTCAAAGCAAGAAAACCTCTTCTTTTTGTAACTTTGTATCGTCCACCAGGTCCTTACTCTGAATTTTTAGATGAGTTTTCAGAGTTCCTTTCTGATTTGGTATTAAAAACTGACAGGGTCATTATAGTGGGAGATTTTAACATCCATGCTGACATTGAAGGCGATAGCTTAAGAGCAGCCTTTAATGCTATCTTTGTTCAAAATGTGAATAGTCCCACACATTCTCATCTTCATACTTTGGATCTTGTGCTGACATACGGCATAGAATGTGAAGAAATAATAGTATTTCCTCACAACCCTGTCCTCTCTGACCACTTTCTAATAACCTTCAGGATTACTTTAACAGAGTTCTCCTCCCCCAAAAGAAGGTTACATTTTAGTAGATCTTTATCAGATAGTACAGTTATACATTTTAAAGAATCTGCTTCACTTTCTCTCTCCTCTGTGTCGCTGAGCAGTGCTGCAGAGTGTAAAAGCATAGCTTATTCCCCTTCACAGGTTGATGATTTTGTTGATGGGGTTGCTAGTTCTCTGCATACTGCCTTAGACAACGCAGCTCCCTTGAAAATGAAAACTGTTAAAAATAGAAAGCTTGCTCATTGGTTTAATGAAGAGCTGAGCAATTTGAAGCAAAATGCTAGGAAACTGGAGAGAAAATATCGCTCCACAGGCCTACGGGAGTCCTTCCTAGTCTGGAAAAATAGTTTATTGCTGTATAAGAGGACCCTTTGTAAAGCAAGAGCAGCATACTTCTCCTCATTAATAGAGGAGAATAAGAATAATCCTAGATTTCTTTTTAATACAGTTGCCAAAACTCACCCAGAGCCATAGCTCTGTTGAACCGTCCATTCCACCTGCTCTTAGCAGCAATGATTTTATGGGATTCTTTATAAATAAGATTGATCTTATTAAAAATAAGATCATAAGCACTCCTCTATCTGCGATTGTATCTGAGGTAGTCATGGAATCTAAACCGGGTTTAGACTGCTTTGATCCAGTTGAGCTTTCTGAATTAGCAAAATTATTGTCTTCATCTAAGCCTTCAACTTGGATGTTAGATCCAGTTCCAACCAGGTTATTTAAGGAGGTATTCCCTTTTATCTCCTCCTCCATTTTAGATGTGATTAATCTTTCTCTGTTACAGGGATATGTACCTAAAGCTTTTAAGGTTGCTGTAATTAAACCTCTGCTTAAGAAACCGTCTCTTGACCCATATGACTTGGTTAATTATAGACCTATATCCAATCTTCCTCTCTTGTCTAAAATTCTTGAGAAAGTAGTTGCCAAACAATTTTGCGACCACTTACACCATAATGAACTTTTTGAAGAGTTTCAGTCTGGCTTTAGAGCTCATCATAGCACTGAAACAGCTCTGGTGAAAGTCACTAATGATATTCTCATGGCCTCAGATAATGGACTTGTATCTGTGCTCGTCCTGTTAGATCTCAGTGCTGCATTTGATGCAGTTGACCATAATATTTTTTTAGAAAGTCTTGTTGGGATTACAGGAACAGCTCTAGACTGGTTTAAATCTTATCTATCTGATCGAATTCAGTTTGTTCATGTTAATGACGGATCTTCCTGGAGCTCAAAGGTTACCTGTGGAGTACCACAGGGATCAGTGCTAGGACCAATTCTCTTTACTTTATACATGCTCCCAATTATTAGACAGAATGGGATTAATTTCCACTGTTATGCTGATGATACCCAGCTATATCTGTCTATAAATCCAGATGAAGCTAACCCATTACATAGATTACAGGCATGTCTTGAAGACATAAAAACCTGGATGACTCTTAACTTTCTGCTTCTGAATGCAGACAAAACAGAAGTTATAGTCTTTGGACCAGAGTCTCTGAAAAAGAAGCTGATTAGTCAGTCACTTCATTTGGATGGGAAGCTGTAGTTAAAAGCCTTCAGCTGATCCAAAATACTGCAGCTAGAGTTCTGATGAAAATGAAAAAGAGAGATCATATCTCTCCTATCCTGGCTTCTCTTCATTGGCTTCCTGTTAAATCCAGAATAGAATTTAAAATCCTCCTTCTCACATATAAAGCCTTAAATGGCCAAGCTCCATCTGATATCAGAGATCTGATTGTTCCTTATGTTCCTAACAGAGCACTTTGCTCTCAATCTGCAGGTTTACTAGTGGTTCCTAGAATTTCTAAAAGTAGAATGGGAGGCAGATCTTTTAATTATCAGGCTCCTCTCGTGTGGAACCAACTACCAGTTTTAGTCCGTGAGGCAGACACCCTGTCTACTTTTAAGGCTAGGCTTAAAACTTTCCTTTTTGATAAAGCTTCTAGTTAGAGTGGCTCAGGTTATCCTGAGCTATCTCTATAGTTCTGCTGCTATAGGCTTAGACTGCTGGAGGACATAGGGACCCTTTTTTCATCATTCTGCTTCATTCTATCTCTATTCTCCCGCTCTGCAGAATCTGTTAGTTCAATCTCTAACCTTCTGCTCTCTCTGCTTTTTCTCATAGTAGCTTCATCTGGTCTGTTCCTGTTTGGCTGTGACTCCATCCTGGAGAGAAATATCAGCTGTGCTGCTGCCATCAACACCTTTGTTTCTAGATGTTGGAGCTTGGCCTGTTTTCCAGTGTAGTCCTGTTTCTCTGACTGTGACTAACTGGATGTGCTCTCTTCATCCTCTGACATGGGAGCTGGCTCGGAGCTCGTCTGCCTGGCTGTGTGTTTCCTGGACAGGGCTGCCTTTTACAGCTGCTTTTTGTATCTATGATTCTTTTTCTATGTCTGCTTCCATCTCCTTGAACCCCAGTCGGCCTCAGTAGATGGCTGCTCACACTGAGCCTGGTTCTGCTGGAGGTTTCTTCCTGTTAAAAGGGAGTTTTCCTCTCTACTGTCGCTACAAGCATGCTTAGTGTGAGGGATTGTATTTGAATCAATGAGTCGATGCAATCTACTTTGAATCAGTTTGACTGTATGATGGTTGAACTGTAAAGTGCCTTGAGATGACATGTGTTGTGAATTGGCGCTATATAAATAAACAGAATTGAATTGAATTGAATTAATCTGAGCCGCTCAGCTCCACCACACCTTTAAATAAAACCATAGGATTCTAAGGCACACCCTCTCAATCTCCTTCCTGCTCCCATACCTGGATGTGCTTTTTCAGTGCCGTGTAAGTGCATGTAGTGCATGCTGAAAGCTGCAGAGAGCATACTCCAGCCTGCCCTGATGCTTTAGCTTTTTCTTAGCCTTAGCTTCTTGTTTAGTTTGGCCTGTTGGAATCGGCTGTAGTGCTTTCAGTTTTGTTTGCAGGTTTAGCTCCTTTTAGTTTTTGTCCCTTATTCCAATGGCTCTATAACTCTATATCTTTTGTCTCTGTTAGAGTGGCTCACCAGGTCCACCTGTATGTTGGAACTTTGGGGTCTTCTTTGGATAAAGAAGGATAACGGATCTTTATCTATATATTTCTTTTTTTAGACCACCAAAAAAATACAAAGGAAATAAAATATTAAAGACTTAGGAAATAGGAAAAAAAGACATAATAACTTACTATTGTTTAAATAAAACTATTAGAGGTTTAATATTTGAAGATTGACTCTGCTAAATTTAAAGCTAAACTGCTTAGTTAAAGTAATATTCCCAATCATGGAAATGACTGAAGATTTGATCAGATTTGATTATTTAACTAAATAAATAAAAACAGATAAACTATGAGAATCAGGAAAAGGAAAGGAAAATATAATGTTGATTTAAAAAAATTATTGTATTTCAAAGTATAATTCTGTGTTGAGAATATATAATTGATTGCATCATGAGGTTTTAGCCTGTGGAGATAAATCTTTATTTAAAAGATCAGTGGTCTGACAGCAGGGCCTAACTGGACTGAAACACATCTAGATGGTGGAACAGCACTCTGTCCATGGTGCTGATGTCCTGCAGAGGCTGAACTTCCATCCTGGAGCCTCCATCATCCCTCCTTTATGATCCAAACCTTTCCATCATAAAGAGTTCAATGATGCAGCAAACACTCTGATGTCTGCTTTATTCTCAGCTGCACAAACAATCAGACTGAATCCTAACAAACCATAGAGGAGGAACAGTGTGTGAGCCCCTCTAGTGGATGCTGTGGAGTATTGCAGGTTCTTGTACAGAGTTCTGGTGTTTCCTGTCACTGTGGGCCTCACAGCACAGTAGTACACAGCAGAGTCTGTCACTGCAGCAGAGGAGATCAGCAGGTCCATCTGGGTTTTATCATCATTGACTCTGAATGAGAAACCAGGAACTGGATCCTGGAGTTTATCTCCTGTTCCTGAATGAGAGACCAGGTACTGGGGAGGTTTTCCAGGATATTGTTGATACCAGAAGATATAATCATTATAAGCAGCAGTTTGAGAGTAAGTGCAGGACAGAGTAACAGAGTTTTCCTCTAAAGATGACTCCTCAGACTTTGTTGCAGTGAGATGTTGACAGTTTATACCTGATGGGAGAAAAAAGTTCATTAACAAAACATGGAAAAATGTATTTTAGAAAAAAATTATTATTACTACAATTAAAAATTTTAACATATATTTTTCTTTCTGAATGAGTCCAACTAACCTGTTCCTATAAGCAGAACCAGCAGAGTAAATCCAGATGTGAGCAAAGACAGCATGATGATCAGAGTTAATGTTTGAACTGTGTTGAATGTGGAAGTTTGTGTCTCTTCTATAGTTCAGTAACAGCTCAGCTCCTCCCTGAAGCTCTCAGCTCCTCTTCCTCCTGCTGAACAGACTGAAAGAAAGAATGATTAAACTAACTTGGTTTATCTCCACATAGGAAAGGAAGTGCTGCCTCAGAGTTAGAGATAGATCTTAGAGCTAGATTAAGCAATCTTAGCTGTGTTCTCTCTTAGATATAGATATATTGGTTTGTCTTCTGGTGACCTATGATGACTTATGATGACCTGCCTATGTCTGTCCATCTGGTGAGGGCATATTGTACAGAAAGGTTAATTGTGGATGCAGGTATTTTGGCCAGATTGACCTTGAGGGGCATAGATCTAGGGTAAATAGAAGGGAAAACTTAAAGTTGGGGCAACATTATGTGCACTGAGAGCAACACTGAGATGGTCCAGGCCTGAATAGTATTGATTCATTGCATTGTATGCTCGTTGCCAAATGTTTATATTTAATTAGAATAAATTCTACTAAAACTTTAAAAAAAAAAAATTCCTGTTGCTTTACATGCAGATAACTCCCCCATGAATAAAGGACAGGGTTTTTTTTAACTGCCAACAGTGTGAAGAACTACCAGTTGTTTAAATAAATCTCTAAAACCTGTATTTTCTGTTGGGTTTCCAGTCAGTTTTCAAAGTTTGGATTAGAAATGTTTAGTTAATCTATAGTTTATCAGGCAGCAGAAAATATCAATATATCGCCGAGTACATTTTTTCCCACACCCCTACTGTGGGACTTCAGGATTCCGCCAGCCCCACGCGGGCGTGCAGGTGGAATATCAGGGGGGAAAATGTTGCATAGCTCAGCATGAAAATGTTTTGGATGTCAAATCCCCCAAGAATCATCACATCAGCGCATCTAACTATATATCTATCTTCTCTTTGATCCATTTGATTTGTTTTAAAGGGTTCTTTATGTTGGACGCCCTTCCTGACAGTATCCTCTGTAGTCATGAAGGGACAGTCTTCAGCCTGAGCATGCTCCTCCAGAGAGTACCCGTGCTGTGGAAGACGTCCTGCCTCGTTCCTGTGCCAAAGACGACGCGCCCTAGTGACCCTCAGGACTACAGACCGGTAGCACTGATGTCCCATATCATGAAGACCTTTGAGAGGCTTGTCCTGGAGCAGCGAAGGCCCATGGTCAGTCCATTACTGATCCTATACAGTTCGCTTACCAGCCCCGCCTGGGAGTTGAGGACAGCATCATCTTCCTGCTGAACAGAGGCTACAATCACCTGGACAAGCCGGCGAGCACAGTGAGAATCATGTTCTTTGACTTCTCCAGTGCCTTCAACACCATCCGCCCGGCTCTACTGGGTGAGAAGATGACTGCAATGCAGGTGGAGGCCCCCATCGTGTCCTGGATTGTTGATTACCTGACGGGCAGACCACAGTATGTACGCCTACAGAACTGTGTGTCTGACAGGTTGGTCAGCAACACTGGGGCCCCTCAGGGGACTGTCCTCTCCCCCTTCCTCTTCACCCTTTTCACCTCAGACTTCAGCTATTGCTCTGAGTCCTGCCACCTTCAGAAGTTTTCTGATGACTCAGCAATTGTTGGCTGCATTGAAAAGGGTGATGAGAGTGAATACAGGACTACAAAAAGGGCCAAAGCCGATTATTCTTCCTGAGGAGGCTGAGGTCCTTTAACATCTGTGGGACCATGCTGAGGATGTTTTATGAGTCTGTTGTTGCTAGCACGCTCTTCTTTGCTGTCACATGCTGGGGCAGTGGGCTGAGGGTTGCTGAAAACAACAGACTGAACAAACTGATCAGGAGGGCCGGTGATGTTGTGGGGGAGGAGCTGGACACCCTGACCACCGTGGCAGAGAGGAGGATGCTGTCCAGGTTTCTGTCCATCTCAGACAATGACTCACATCCTCTCCACGACACACTGGTCCAGCAGACGAGCTCCTTCAGCAGAAGACTCCTCCTACCCAGATGCTCCACAGAGCGCCACAGGAAATCATTCCTACCTGTGGTCATCAATCGATATAATGCCTCCCTCAAGTGATTCAAGTACATACATATATGCATATATATATGTACTATAACTTTAACTGGAGTGTGTAACAAAAGTAATTTCCCTCTGGGATTATTAAAGTATTTCTAATTCTGATTTATTGGTGTTTTGTAGATATATTTGAGTTCTTAGGTTCTTCTTTGTTTTCCTCTGTTGCCCTCTTGTGTTGGTCTCCTTTTCCCTTGTTCCTTCAAGAAGCCTCTGTTCACAACTGCTCCCACCCTGCTCGTTAGTCCTGTCTTTGTACAGTCTCCCATATAAGCTCTCCTTGTGCAGTTTTTCAGTGTTTGTTTCTCATCTTTCCCTGGCTCCTTGTGCATGTTTTCCCCGATATCTCCATGGTTCTGTTTTTTTTTTTGCATTTTTATATTGGATTTTTGGATTCCTGCCTCTGTTACCTGTAAACACTACACTGAAAAAAGTTTAACATGTAACTCTTCATTCAAACTAATGCTTTTCACTCTAAACTAGGTAAAATTATTGATTTGATTATGTAAATCATTCTTTTTGGATTTTGAGACATCAGGTTTGATTTAACCAGAACTAAATACACATAGAAAGGACCCAAAACAAAGTTTTTGACTTATCTCAATATGTATATATTTATTCATGGCCAGCAGGTAATTTTTTCTGTTTGAGTCAAATGTGAACTCCGCTCTGCATGCAGTAAGAGACGTGATGAAGTCCAAGTCCCACATTATTACAGACTGGCTCAGTTATGCTAGCACTTCTGCTTTGCAGACCAAACACCAGTCACTTCTATTCAGTCCCTCAGTTATATTCAGTGGCGTAACTATCGGTAAGCAGAGACAGCAGTGGCTTATGGGCCGACAGCCTTTTAGGGGCCCCATCACTGTCACCTGGTTGGCCCCCTACACAACTGTAGACAAGGTGGTCTCTTTGTACATGTAATGGTGCAGGGAATTCCTCTTAAACCCACCTGATACTGAAGTGACTGACCTGACCTTATTTATACCCCAACAGGTGTCAGATTTAAACATGATGATGAGCTGTTTAAACACGACACCAAGAGCAAAACAGACAGTGGTACTTTTAATTACTATGTTAATAACTGTGTATAGTTCATTAGATTATAAGTAAAATACACTCATATAATATGTTTCAAATCACATTAAAGATCTTAAAAGAACAATTTATTTGATTATTTTATTTTTTATACTACGACTTGAAATTATGGGAAATGGGTTGGTCTCCCAACTGTCCAGTCTCTTTTCTAGAAGTTCTGGTTGCTGTCTCTGATAAATCCCTCCCAACCTAAGGCAGTTTCATATTTTTATGAACTGTTTAAAACTTCCCTCATTCTTTCTGGTTATATTCTGGGTTTTCCGTTTTCTGATGATTACGGAACAGGGTCCCAAGATACTTGAACTCCCCCAGTTTAGGCAGCTGAGGCACTTTCCTCGTATCTAAAAAGGGCAAGCCTCCTTTTACTTATGGAAAACCATGGATTTGGACTAAAAGGAGCTGATATTCATTCACACTGCTTTGCCCTCCTGAGTGCATTAACCCATTGCATGCCATACTTTGGCAAGAGGGGCTAAAAAGAACCACATAATCTGCAAAAGCAGAGACGAAACCTGCTGGTCCCCTAACCCTCGCTGGATCTCGAAACCGTCTCTATAAAAGTAATGACAGGAACAATGACAGAGGAAAGCCCTGCTGGAGTCCAACATGGGGATAGGTTCAACTTAATGCCAGGCAGTTTTGGGATAAGTAATCAATCAGGTTGCTATAGAATAAACTTGAATATTATAGTAATGAACATTAAATATTTCTTCATAATTGTACAGCTTTGACTTTAGATTCCTTTATGGTAATTATATAGTTTTCCTAAAATGACTTTTGGTGATAATCGTTGGACTTTTACAGAAAATGAAATTATATGCACCATCTGGTGGATGTGTTGGAGTATTGCAGGTTCTTGTACAGAGTTCTGGTGTTTCCTGTCACTGTGGGCTGCAGAGCACAGTAGTACACAGCAGAGTCTGACAGACGGAGATCCTGGATCGTCAGATTAAAGGATTTCTTGTCACCGTTGATGTCAGCTTCAAATCTTTCCTTGTTGAACTCTGGAGCTTTTTCTTTCGTTGAAGTAATTTGTTTCAGCATGAACTTTGGAAAGCTGTTTTCTTCTTGTTTATACCAGAACAATCTTTGAGTACCACTGGTTTCAAAAATACATCCCAGAGTCACAGATTCTCCTTGAGCAGCAGCAACATGTCCTTCTGTCTGCGTCACTGAGTCTCCTTTACACTCTGAGGAAGAACAGAACATGCAGAGGAAGAGATGAATCAATAAAGATGATTGATTAAAGGAGAACAATCAGCAGCTTTAAAGACTTCTATTCCATGTAGAATAGATGTCATTTTCTCTGATCATTGTCACTTTGAACCATATCAGGTGTTTCTACAAGGTAACAAATGGCAGCAGAAATGATCTGCTCTGATTTTCTGTAGAATGAACATTAAAGCTCTTCATGTAGAGCTCAGTAATGTGTTCAAGTGTTTGAAGAGGAAACATGTTGAGCTTTCTATCTTACCAAAGAAAAGAGCAGCTAGAATAATCCACAGCCAATGTTCCATCTGTCCAACAAGGTTTAAATCAGCAGGAGAAACTAGCTGATGTTCAACATTCAGTCTGACTATTGTTCTCTTCACAGCAACACTTATTATTGACACAATGCTGGAACACAGAGCACAAGGAGAGCTCCGCCTACTGGATGATGGCGCCCTCTAGTGGAGCTAGAAGGTGTCAATGAATGAGTAATGTTTTTCTCTTTACAGGTGCTGGTCATAAAATTAGAATATCATGAAAAAGTAGATTGATTTCAGTAATTCCATTTAAAAAGTGAAACTTGTATATTATATTCATACATTACATACAAACTCATATATTTCAGATGTTTATTTTGTTTAATTTTGATGATTACAAATGACAACAAATGAAAATCTCAAATTCATCATATCAGAAAATTAGAATATTGTGAAAAGGTTCAAAATTGATGGCCCCTGGTGCCACACTCTAATCAGCTAATTAACTCAAACCACCTGCAAAAGCCTTTAAATGGTCTTTCAGTCTAGTTCTATAGGCTACACAATCATGGGGAAGACTGCTGACTTGACAGTTGTCCAAAAGACGACCATCGACACCTTGCACAAGGAGGGCAAGACACAAAAGGTCATCGCTAAAGAGGCTGGCTGTTCACAGAGCTCAGTGTCCAAGCACATTAATAGAGAGGCGAAGGGAAGGAAAAGATGTGGTCGAAAAAAGTGTACAAGCAAGAGAGATAACCGCACCCTGGAGAGGATTGTGAAACAAAACCCATTCAAAAATGTGGGGGAGATTCACAAAGAGTGGACTGCAGCTGGAGTGAGTGCTTCAAGAACCACCACACACAGACGTATGAAAGACATGGGTTTCTGCTGTCGCATTCCTTGTGTCAAGCCACTCTTGAACCACAGACAGCGTCAGAAGCGTCTTGCCTGGGCTAAAGAGAAACAGGACTGGACTGCTGGTGAGTGGTCCAAAGTCATGTTCTCTGATGAAAGTAAATTTTGCATTTCCTTTGGAAATCAAGGTCCCAGAGTCTGGAGGAAAAGAAGAGAGGCACTTCATCCACGTTGCTTGAAGTCCAGTGTAAAGTTTCCACAGTCAGTGATGGTTTGGGGTGCCATGTCATCTGCTGGTGTTGGTCCATTGTGTTTTCTGAGGTCCAGGGTCAACGCAGCCACATACCAGGAAGTTTTAGAGCACTTCATGCTTCCTGCAGCTGACCAACTTTTTGGAGATGCAGATTTCATTTTCCAACAGGACTTGGCACCTGCACACAGTGCCAAAGCTACCAGTACCTGGTTGAAGGACCATGGTATCCCTGTTCTTAATTGGCCAGCAAACTCTCCTGACCTTAACCCCATAGAAAATCTATGGGGTATTGTGAAGAAGAAGATGCAATACACCAGACCCAACAATTCAGAAGAGCTAAAAGCCACTATTAGAGCAACCTGGGCTATCATAACACCTGAGCAGTGCCACAGACTGATCGACTCCATGCCACGCCGCATTGCTGCAGTAATACAGGCCAAAGGAGGCCCAACTAAATACTGAGTGCTGTACATGCTCATACTTTTCATGTTCATACTTTTCAGTTGGCCAACATTTCTATAAATCCTTTGTTTTTATTGGTCTTCAGTAATATTCTAATTTTCTGATATGATGAATTTGAGATTTTCATTTGTTGTCATTTGTAATCATCAAAATTAAACAAAATAAACATCTGAAATATATGAGTTTGTATGTAATGTATGAATATAATATACAAGTTTCACTTTTTAAATGGAATTACTGAAATCAATCTACTTTTTCATGATATTCTAATTTTATGACCAGCACCTGTATGTGAGCATAAATGAGGCAACTCCTTCAAGCTATTTGAATTTTCACATACCCACAAGTTCTGGGCGAGGAGGAGGAGTAGCAACAATCTTCCAGTCTCACTTACTGATTACTCCCAACACAGTTATTACATACAACTCTTTTAAACATGTAACATTCAATTTCCCTGATCCAAATTTCAAAGCAAGAAAACCTCTTCTTTTTGTAACTTTGTATCGTCCACCAGGTCCTTACTCTGAATTTTTAGATTAGTTTTCAAAGTTCCTTTCTAATTTGGTATTAAATACTGACAGGGTCATCATAGTGGGAGATTTTAACATCCATGCTGACATTGAAGGCGATAGCTTAAGAGCAGCCTTTAATGCTATCTTAGACACTATTGGCTTTGTTCAAAATGTGAATAGTCCCACACATTCTCATCTTCATACTTTGGATCTTGTGCTGACATACGGCATAGAATGTGAAGAAATAATAGTCTTTCCTCACAACCCTGTCCTCTCTGACCACTTTCTAATAACCTTCAGGATTACTTTAACAGAGTTCTCCTCCCCCAAAAGAAGGTTACATTTTAGCAGATCTTTATCAGATAGTGCAGTTATAAATGTTAAAGAATCTGCTTCACTTTCTCTCTCCTCTGTGTCGCTGAGCAGTGCTGCAGAGTGCTAAAGCTTAGCTTATTCCCCTTCACAGTTTGATGATTTTGTTGTTGCGGTTGCTAGTTCTCTGCATACTGCCTTAGACAATGCAGCCCCTTTGAAAATGAAAACCATTAAAAATAGAAAGCTTGCTCATTGGTTTAATGCAGAGCTGAGCAATTTGAAGCAAAATGCTAGGAAACTGGAGAGAAAATATTGCTCCATAGGCCTACGGGAGTGCTTTCTAGTCTGGAAAAATAGTTTATTGCTGTAAAAGAGGACCCTTTGTAAAGCAAGAGCAGCATACTTCTCCTCATTAATAGAGGAGAATAAGAGTAATCCTAGATTTCTTTTTAATACAGTTGCAAAACTTACCCAGAGCCATAGCTCTGTTGAACCGTCCATTCCACCTGCTCTTAGCAGCAATGATTTTATGGGATTCTTTATAAATAAGATTGATCTTATTAAAAATAAGATCATAAGCACTCCTCTATCCGCGATTGTACCTGAGTTTGTCATGGAATCTAAACCGGGTTTAGACTGCTTTGATCCAGTTGAACTTTCTGAATTAGCAAAATTATTGTCTTCATCTAAGCCTTCAACTTGTATGTTAGATCCAGTTCCAACCAGGTTATTTAAGGAGGTATTCCCTTTGATCTCCTCCTCCATTTTAGATGTGATTAATCTATCTCTGTTACAGGGATATCTACCTAAAGCTTTTAAGGTTGCTGTAATTAAACCTCTGCTTAAGAAACCGTCTCTTGACTCAGATGACTTGGTCAATTATAGACCTATATCCAATCTTCCTCTCTTGTCTAAGATTCATGAGAAAGTAGTTGCCAAACAAGTTTGCGATCACTTACACCATAATGAACTTTTTGAAGAGTTTCAGTCTGGCTTTAGAGCTCATCATAGCACTGAAACAGCTCTGGTGAAAGTCACTAATGATATTCTCATGGCCTCAGATAATGGACTTGTATCTGTGCTCGTCCTGTTGGATCTCAGTGCTGCATTTGATCCAGTTGATCATAATATTCTTTTAGAAAGACTTGAATATTTTGTTGGAATTAAAGGAACAGCTCTGGACTGGTTTAAATCTTATCTATCTGATCAAATTCAGTTTGTTCACGTTAATGACAGATCTTCCTCATGCTCACAGGTTACCTGTGGAGTACCACAGGGATCAGTGCTAGGACCAATTCTCTTTACTTTATATAGCCTCCAAATTGGTAGAGTTATTAGACAGCATGGGATTAATTTCCACTGTTATGCTGATGATACCCAGCTATATCTGTCTATAAATCCAGATGAAGCTAACCCATTACATAGATTACAGGCATGTCTGAAGACATAAAAACCTGGATGACTCTTAACATTCTCCTTCTGAATGCAGACAAAACAGAAGTTATAGTCTTTGGACCAGAGTCTCTGAAAAAGAAGCTGATTAGCCAGTCACTTCATGTGGATGGGAAGCTGTAGTTAAAAGCCTTCAGCTGATCCAAAATGCTGCAGCCAGAGTTCTGATGAAAATGAAAAAGAGAGATCATATCTCTCCTATCCTGGCTTCTCTTCATTGGCTTCCTGTTAAATCCAGAATAGAATTTAAAATCCTCCTTCTCACATATAAAGCCTTAAATGGCCAAGCTCCATCTGATATCAGAGATCTGATTGTTCCTTATGTTCCTAACAGAGCACTTCGCTCTCAATCTGCAGGTTTACTAGTGGTTCCTAGAATTTCTAAAAGTGGAATGGGAGGCAGATCTTTTAGTTCTCAGGCTCCTCTCCTGTGGAACCAACTACCAGTTTTAGTCCGTGAGGCAGACACCCTGTCTACTTTTAAGGCTAGGCTTAAAACTTTCCTTTTTGATAAAGCTTATAGTTAGAGTGGCTCAGGTTATCCTGAGCTATCTCTATAGTTCTGCTGCTATAGGCTTAGACTGCTGGAGGACATAGGGACCCCTTTTTCATCATTCTGCTTCATTCTCTCTCTATTCTCCCACTCTGCAGAATCTGTTAGTTCAATCTCTAACCTTCTGCTCTCTCTGCTTTTTCTCATAGTAGCTTCATCTGGTCTGTTCCTGTTTGGCTGTGACTCCATCCTGGAGAGAAATATCAGCTGTGCTGCTGCCATCAACACCCTTGTCTATAGATGGTGGAGATCGTCCTGTTTTCCAGTGTAGTCCTGTTTCTCTGACTGTGACTGGCTGAATGTGCTCTCTTCATCCTCTGACATGGGAGCTGGCTTGGAGCTTGTCTGCCTGGCCGTGTGTTTCCTTGTCGGGGCCGCCTTTGGAGCTGCCTTTTGTATCTATGCTTCTTTTTTTTTAGGTCTGCTTGGGTCTCATTGAACCCCAGTGGGCCTCAGCAGATGGCCGCTCACACTGAGCCTGGTTCTGCTGGAGGTTTCTTCCTGTTAAAAGGGAGTTTTTCCTCTCCACTGTCGCTACAAGCATGCTTAGCGTGAGGGATTGCATTAGAGTCAATGAGTCGATGAAATCAACTGGTTTTCCTTAGATAGAAAACTTTTAATCAATTTGACTGGATGATCTGGTTGAACTGTAAAGTGCCTTGAGATGACTTGTGTTGTGAATTGGCGCTATAGAAATAAACTGAATTGAATTGAATTAATCTGAACCGCTCAGCTCCACCACACCTATAAATAAAACCATAGGATTCTAAGGCACACCCTCTCACCTCCTTCCTGCTCCCATACCTGGATGTGCTTTTTCAGTGCCGTGTAAGTGCATGTAGTGCATGCTGAAAGCTGCAGAGAGCATACTCCAGCCTGTCCTGATGCTTTAGCTTTTTCTTAGCCTTAGCTTCTTGTTTAGTTTGGCCTGGTGGAATCGGCTGTAATGCTTTCAGTTTTGTTTGCAGGTTTAGCTCCTTTTAGTTTTTGTCCCTTATTCCTATGGCTCTATAACTCTATATCTTTTGTCTCTGTTAGAGTGGCTCACCAGGTCCACCTGTATGTTGGAACTTTGGGGTGTTCTTTGGATAAAAAAGGATAATGGATCTTTATCTATATATTTCTTTTTTTAGACCACCAAAAAAATACAAAGGAAATAAAATATTAAAGACTTAGGAAATAGGAAAAAAAGACATAATAACTTACTATTGTTTAAATATTACTATTAGAAGTGTAATATTTGAAGATTGACTCTGCTTAGTTAAAGTAATATCCCCAATCATGAAATGACTGAAGATTTGATCAGATTGGATTATTTAACTAAATCAAAAATAAACAGATAAACTATGAGAAACAGGAAAATATAATGTTGATTAAAAAAATTATTGTGTTTCAAAGTATAATTCTGTGTTGAGAATATATAATGAAATGCATCATGAGGTTTTAGCCTGTGGAGATAAATCTTTATTTAAAAGATCAGTGGTCTGACAGCAGGGCCTAACTGGACTGAAACACATCTAGATGGTGGAACAGAACTCTGTCCATGGTGCTGATGTCCTGCAGAGGCTGCACTTCCATCCTGGAGCCTCCATCATCCCTCCTTTATGATCCAAACCTTCTCATCATAAAGAGTTCAATGATGCAGCAAACACTCTGATGTCTGCTTTATTCTCAGCTGCACAAACAATCAGACTGAATCCTAACAAACCATAGAGGAGGAACAGTGTGTGAGGCCCTCTAGTGGATGTTGTGGAGTATTGCAGGTTCTTGTACAGAGTTCTGGTGTTTCCTGTCACTGTGGGCCTCACAGCACAGTAGTACACAGCAGAGTCAGTCACTGCAGCAGAGGAGATCAGCAGCTCCATCTGGGTTTTATCATCATTGACTCTGAATGAGAAACCAGGAACTGGATCCTGGACTTTATCTCCTGTTCCTGAATGAGAGACCAGGTACTGGGGAGGTTTTCCAGGAAGTTGTCGATACCAGAAGATATAATCATTATAAGCAGCAGTTTGAGAGTAAGTGCAGGACAGAGTCACAGAGTGTTCCTCTAAAGAAGACTCCTCAGTCTTTGCTGCAGTGAGATGTTTACAGTTTACACCTGATGGGAGAAAAAAGTGAATTAACAAAACATGGAAAAAATTATTTTTGAAAAAAATTATTATTACTACAATTAAAAATTTAAACATATATTTTTCTTTCTGAATGAGTCCAACTAACCTGTTCCTATAAGCAGAACCAGCAGAGTAAATCCAGATGTGAGCAAAGACAGCATGATGATCAGAGTTAATGTTTGAACTGTGTTGAATGTGGAAGTTTGTGTCTCTTCTATAGTTCAGTAACAGCTCAGCTCCTCCCTGAAGCTCTCAGCTCCTCTTCCTCCTGCTTAGACATCACAGCATCCTCTCTTTTTATGGAAATAATTTTTTGTCAGTTTGTTTTTTGTATTAAAGTATGTGGCCCCAGTAGATCTAAGGGATCAGTGTTGTTGCCTGTGGTGTTCTCCCAGGCTCTGTCTTTGGACAAGTATGTTTTTACAAAATAATTTGTATTTTTGAGTGTTTGAGGTCAGGAGGACTCAGAGATTGGATAGAAGAGCAGTCAATGCCTTTGAACAACATGAGCAAAACAAATGGAATACCTTCTTGCCATGGCAATACGTAAATCACTGGCATTCAAATTGGGGATGTAGAGCACCGGTTGTCTCTCTTTGCAGATGACATTGTTTTGTATTTAGCTAATTTGGAAGAATCTGTTCAAGCTGTTGATAAACTACTAAAGGAATTTGGAGAATTCTCAGGATATAAAGTTAACCAAAAGAAAAACTGGCACCACTCCCATAAGGATTTAGATGAGGTGTCCAAAATCTCATATCTGTCACCTATTTGGGGAAACAATAAATTCAAACCAGGAAGAGCAGACAGGGGGTTCAAAATATGGATGAATAGAGGCTTAAATAAAATAGGGGACCTTTATAGTGAAGGAGTTTTGATGACTTTTGAACAACTGGTAAATAAGTATAGTCTGCCCCAAAAGCATTTTTTAAGTATTTACAGATTAGAAGTTTTGTCTTCGCCTCACTGAAATCTACGTCTGAACCTCCACTCACAACCATAGAGAATATAGCCTTTCACCATAATCAGAGTAGAGGCCTACTTTCCAAATTTTATAATATTTTACTTTTGGCTTCAAAAGAAAATAGTCTTGCATATTTACAAGCTTGGAAAGCTGATCTGCAAACTGAAATCCCTGAGGATGATTGGAATAACTCATGTCTATTGGCACAAACGCAAACTATTAACACAAGGTTTAGACTATTACAATACAAATGGTCATTTAGAACGTATATCACTCCTGTAAAACTTCACCATTTTAATTCAAATATTCCTGATATCTGTGGTAAATGTAATATAAATAAGGGCACTCTTTTCCATTGTATGTGGCAATGTATAGAGATTCAAACTTTCTGGAAGGAGGTTACCATGTTCATCTCCCGTTTGATCGAACAGGATGTTCCAATGGACAGTAAACTTTGCTTATTGCACATTTTTCCAGATGGACTTAAAGGACTTATGAAGAGAAGGAAGCTTTTGAGTTTTTGCCTTTTGCAGGCTAAACATTTGATTGCTCTGAAGTGGAAGAACACAGAAAGACCAAAGATAAATGAATGGATTAAACTATTGACCAACAACCTGGCAATGGAAAAGCTGACATATATAACAAAAGGAAAGCTTGAAGACTTTAAGGATATTTGGTTTCCCTTCCTACATCTTATAAAATACTGTGACATGTAAAGCTATTTTTTCCTCGTTTTTTGAGTGTGTAGATAGAGTGAGCCCTGGGGTTTAGTGTTCTTTTTGGGTGGGGGGTGGGGGGAGGGAATTCACCTTGCTCTGTTTTGCTTTTTTGTTTTTAGTCTATTTTGCTTTATTTTTCATGTTTCAGCGTGTGTGTATGTTTGTTTTTGTATGTCTAACAGAAAATTCTAATAAAAATATCTTTGAAAAAAAAAAAATGGAATACCTTCAAATAAAATGCTGTGCTCTCTTGGAGTGAAAGGAACCCTGTACCGAGCGACAAATCCATCATAACTACAAGGATGACTTCTGTTATTTATTGATTCAGTTCGATTCAATTCAGTTTATTTCTATAGTCCAATTCACAACACATGTCATCTCAAGGCACTTTACAATAGATTGTTGATTAACTGGACAATACCATAGTCAAACCATTTGTGAAAGAATATTGACCTATTTTTGTTCCAAATGAAACATCTTTGCAGAGAAAAGTTGTGTGGGATTATCACAGGCAGGCATTATCAGAAATAATGCCTGCCTGAGACCTGCTCTGTCAGCCTTTGGATTCCGGATTGACCATCCGTGCTGCCGACCCCTTTCAGCCTGTGAGCATTTGAGCCTGCCTGTCCCCTTAACTCTCTGTGATTATACGGATATGGGACCTGGAACTAGATTACCCCTCTGTACCTCTGCTGAATTATTGGACCTCGTAATCAGACCTGGACTGTCTCTGGAAAGATGCTCCTGGAAATTCCGCACCGCCTGTCAGTTTGTCGACCACTCAACCGTCTGTCCCCGGAAACAAGCGGACACCCCAGACCCCGAGGCCTCTGGTCTGGATAAACTTTTTTTTTGCTTGGTTTTCTCCAGCAGTCTATGTTTATAGCAGCATAAATATAGGAAATATCTCAGGATAAATTATCATCTTGGATGAGTAACACGAAAGGACTTTCCTCCTCCGACTTCTTCACTCATTCAGCAACTAAGTCGAAATCATTCCGTTTTTTAATATGTGCTTTATGAAAGTAGACGTGGTGTCCCCCTCACAGAATAAAACTACCGTATTTTCACGACCATAAGGCGCACCGTACTAAAAGGCGCACTCTCAGTTATGTGTGCCATTTCTGTATTTAACACACACATAAGGCGCACCGGACTATAGGGCGCGTTTTTTATATACAGGTACATGTCCTCTACTACCTTTAAATACCTCTTCTGCGTATTTAAAAATACAGCGGGCCCAAAACTGAGTATGATTGTGCTTTATTCATGTATTTATTACAAAGTATTAATCAAACCTGGCAGCTGGCCGTGAGACAGACACATCGCAGATGACACAGTGCTGTGATCACTCCTAAATTAACTTAAAATCCTGAAACCTGCTGACGGAATATGTTTGCTTTTATTGCCGGTATCCTGGTGCCTGCAGCTAAAATTATTTAGATGAAAAACACCTGCCAGCCGCCGCTGTGAACCCCAGGCTGCCCAGCCTAGAGGCTGCTGATGAAGAGATTTCTGCTGTCAGCGCACCGCTGGTATGTGGGGGTCTGAGCGCCTCCGACAGAAATAGATAATCTGGATGAACTGACTGCAATTATGAAGTTTTCAGGTGGACTTTCTCACTTAAAAACATATTAAAACTACTTTATTCCCACTGATCACAGCAAATATAGCTGCAAGATTTAGATTATTTAGATGAAAAAACACCTGCCAGCCACCGCGGTGAAGAGGAGGAGACCCGCCCAGAGGCTGCTGTTGAATTAAGTTTTCAGGTAGAAAAATAGAGCGGGAGCAAAACTGAGTATGATTGTGCTTTATTCATGTATTTATTACAAAGTATTAATCAAACCCATCAAAGTCATCATCCTCTGTTTCTGAATTAAACAGCTGTGCTAAATCAGACATGCCAATTTCCCCTTCTTCGCTGTCAGAGTCACTTTCCGTGCAGCGCGGCTCCTCAGAAATAATGCCGGCTTTTGCGAAAGCTTGAACAACAGAGCCAGCAGACACGTTAGACCAAGCATCTACAATCCATCCGCAAACGGTGGCGTAACTTGCCCGGCGCTGCCTTCCACTTTTCGTGAAACTGTGGTCTCCGTCGGTCATCCATCGCTCCCACGCCGCTCGCAGCCTTACTTTGAACGGCCACTTCACACCGATGTCGAGCGGTTGAAGTTCCTTTGTCAGACCCCCGGGATAACGGCGAGCACAGCGTTCATTGATTCACCTTTTTTTTCACATCGGCTGTGAGATGGGCACGCAGTCACATATTAACAGCGATGGTGATGCGTGGAAAAAACCACCTGGTCTCCTCACATACACCTGCCTCAGCCACTCTTTCATCATCTCCTCATCCATCCAGCCTTTTTCATTTGCTTTAATATCATGTGTCATCAGAGCGATGTGTCTGTCTCGCTGTCAGCTCCTGTAGAAGCGAATTGTGTTGCCTCAGGTCATCGTGACCTTAAGCTCACAATAATAGAGAACACAGAGCAAGCAGTTTTGGAGCCAGGTACACATTTTGGCAATAACAATGGCAGGAAACATGTGTTCGCAGGCGATAAGCCGAGTACAAGCCTTGAAAAACAAAATCATTAGGCCCACTCGCACGCAATCCGGTCACGAGCCAAGAACTTCCAGGAAATGTTATCAGAGCGTCCAGTCGTGCACATACATCCACACAGTGCAATGTTGAAACTATATAAACGCCCAGATTTGAATGGGAGTTGAGAAAAAAGCCAGATGTGTTCTGTTGAAATGTTCAGCGCTGTGTTACGTGTACTGAGGACAGCATGTCAATTTGATCTTTGAAATAAACGCTTCTTCTCCCGTCCTGGGGCAATCAGATGATCAACTGAAGGTGTCCTGATTTTTGATTTTCTATCATTGAAAACCACCACATTTTGATGCATTGGCCGAGCTGAGAAAGGACCCGGAGACCATCAACGTGCGGGGGGCTTCCAGCTGGCCGGAGTGACCTGTGGGGCCCCATCTGAAGTCATTAGGAGAACGGTGAGTTAAATCCTAAATCCGTTGCTCCTATTTTAATGACTGATATAAAGCAGATCACTTAAGCTGTTTGGAAGCTACCCGCACATCTAACAGTATCAGGCGATTGTCTGTTTGCCACTGGATGTTTGCTGCAGCATAAATTGGCATCTTGAGATAAATAGTAGCTGTCGAGAACTGGCTCGGATTTTTGTTTTTGGATGATTAATAGTAATCTGCTGAAGCGAGATTGCACCATAACTTTATAGAAATTGGTGGAAACTGGCGGTCACGGATTATAAGTGATGTATCATTATGAATGATGCAACGAATATGTATATCTCATTCTAGTGAGGAATTCTATTTCCTAGAACATGTCGCCGAGTTGCAGTTCGACTGAAGCCTGAAAGGCTGTTGTTGTCATTGAGAATAGGCCTTGAGTCCAGAGGGACTATATTGAGATCTCAGTTGTTGAAGTTGCTTATCTCCGGAGAAAGAAATAGCAG